CTTATTTTTTGTGAGCCCAGGCCATCATGGATACAGCTCCTGGGTTAACAGTTGAATGGCGCATAGAACAGTGCTCACATGTCACAGCTTGAGTCCCTGTTCTGTCCATCCATTCCCAACACCTGAGAACAGGAGAACTCTGTTCATCATGTGACTGGCTAGAATTCAAGGTAAGTATACTGGTAATGATGACGTCGAGGGTGGGGTGGGGGGCTAAAAGCTGAAAATTGGATTTTAAATCTTACCTGAAAACATAACATAACATAGGTCAAGAGAAGAATATAGAGGCCACTATTCCTCCGGAAAAGGCTAGTTGCCGAGTGTCTGACCTTGAACAATAAGAAGATAAATAATTTTTTTCTCTGACTTTCTTAACTGCATGCTTTTGGTCAGACACTCAGGAAATATGCAAGTCGGTAACATCAAGCCAGGGAGCTAGCATTTTTAGTCCTTGTAACGAGCCCCTGCTCGCTCGGTTCCACTCTCCCGGCACTCCTCAGATTTCAGACCGTAACGTCTGGTTTCTCGGTCGTCCGATGCTCCGGGATTCGAACTACAGCTATGTGTCGTTCGAATCCAGTTGTGATAGCTCAGAACAAACACCAGGCAGGCTGTATGTAAGTTCAAACAGGAATCTCCTTTACTGAATGCACACAACACACTTTTATACACAACAGTTTGAACACCCCTATTGGTCATGCAAATGAAGACTTGAAACAGAGTCAGCAGGGATTGGTCCGATAGCTTGAATGGGAGGGCTGATATGTGTGGCCATGCAAATGAAGGCTTGAAACATTGTCAGCAGGGATTGGTCCGATAGCTTTAATGGGAGGGCTGATATGTGTAATGACACAGAGACCTCCCAGGAGATAATTACAAACAGTCAAACACAGAGTGATTCAAACATAAGACAGGGCGGAGGACCCACCACTGTGTACTAGAATCAAGGAAACATGGTTCAGTATTCTAAGGACCATGACAGTTCAGCCAGCGCCAGCGGGGAGGAGAATGGAGGAGCAGAGCAGCGGCAACTAATCGAAAAACAACTAATCGATGATGAGAATCGTTGCCAACAATTCTCGTTATTGATTATAATCGATTTAATCGATTAGTTGTTGCAGCTCTAAAAATGTTTCA